CAAAAGATTACACACCAAACTATATCAACATGTCAAAAATTGAATGTTATAGTTGTCATGAGTATGACCATTTTGGAATGTAAAACTAATCTCAATAAAAACTTGGTAAACGCTCTTTCACAAATTTTGTTGTTGGTGAAACTTGGTAAATCCTATTTTATATGTCCATCTCTTTCATTTAAAGCGGTGACCTCATCTACAAGTCAGTAATTCATATTATTTCAAGAGTTTTTATTTATTGACCTAATATTTTAATCTTAAAAGAGGAAATAAATATATAAAATAACTACAATATTTTTAATTTTAAATTGTACTTTTAGTACTTTTATTTTCATCAATTAACAATTTTGGTCCCTCTATTTTAAAAGAGATACATTTAGTCCCTCTAATTTTAAAAATATAGAATTTAGCGTATTTTGTAACAAGTACAATATTTTAAAGGCTAAATTGCACTTTTAGTTTCTCTATTTTTGTCAATCCGTAATTTTGATTCCTTTATTTTAAAAGAGATACATTTAATCCCTCTAATTTTAAAAATATAAATTTTGATTTTGTCAATTGACATCTATTAATCATTAATCGTTAAGTTTTAACGTTTATTCGTATTTAAGTGATGTGATGTTTAGTAATATGGCATTTAGAGATTAAAAAAACTCAAAAAATCATGCAAATAAGATTTGTCAATAAAATATATACTAATCACTTGTTAAAATATATACAAACAAAGATTTTTCTTGTATGTTATTTTTTAATTTTTATCTCAACATCTCACGTTACTAAATATCGTGTAACTTAAGTGGTAACATATCACTAAGCACTGTTAAAATTTAACAATTAACAAATATTAATTTGACAATAGAACCAAAAATTTTGTATTTTAAAAAATAGGGAGACTAAATATCTTTATTTTAAAATAGACAAACCAAAATTATAGAGGATCAAAAGTATAATTTAGCTTATTTTTAATTCCAAACAATATCTTAGAGATTGAAAATAAAAATTTTGAATTGTTATCTTAACTCTTATAATGTCAAGGAGCATCTCCTTAGCTTTTGTCATACATCTCTTGAGAACTCGAAGAGTTTACCATCCTTCCTTGTCCAATAAATGTCATGTACCATTCTCTTAGTCAAAAGAGACAAATATTCATTCATGTTGAAAGAGATGTTAGATTTTATCCAAAAAAAAATAGTCCCATTTTTCCTATTCAAAGGAGATCTTTTTATGTTCATACATAATCATCATAGTTGATGGAAACTAATTTGAGTAATTACGAGCCTTAGAAGACGATGGATGTTTCGAGTGAGAAGAAATTAGTCAACCACAATAACCTCTGGTGAGAAACAGAACTTGCAAACACTTATATAGACATTCTGACGTCTAAGACACCCCCACATACAAGCTAGTGAGTGTAGAAATTAAAGATATTAAAAATAATAAATAAAGTTACAAATGAAAAATAAACGACCAACATATAATGCTGAAAATAATGTCTTAAAATTTAGTAGTTAGATAATACATGAGTTCTCATTTTACAATTATGCAATTCTCTTTCCAGACCAATACATTGACAATTCTGTTAAAATGATAAAATGACATAATTGTTATTATATAAGATTCTTTTTGCACATTTATTAAAACTATTTAATTCAAACTCTTACAAATTTTTTTTGTGAAGACTCTTATATATTTTGTGTGTGAAATTTGATGATCTTTTCTAAATTAACATGTAAAATGATCACTATGGTTAGCCTAGTGGTTGTGTGGGGAGGGATTGGGGTAGTTAGAAGCATGATGACTTATGTTCAATCTTCATTGCGACCATCTTTGTAATATTTCCTATCTTTACCAAAAAAAAAAATTAACATGTAAAATAAAAGTAAAAAAAAAAAGAAAATTTAGAGAAGAAAAAATTATAATAAAAGATGTTTTTACCCATCTAATTTATTTTTAATAATTTTTCTAAAACTAAACTCTTTTGTAAACTTAATTATTTAATAAATTATTTTATCTATAATGCTTAACTTTCTTTTTAAAATTTAAAATAGAAGGTTATAATTAGCTTTTTATCATTAAAAATAAATAAATAAATAAATAAATAAATAGTATGATATACCAATTAATATCATAATGAAAGGTGACAATGTTTAGTTTCATAACTTATAATTTATATATATAAATAAATATTTATTTCATTTATAATTAGTAATAATTACATATATTAATTATTTTCTATAACTTACATTTTAATTAAATTTAATCTCTTAATTTCACATTAATATAAGTAAAAAATATCAAAGTATTGATATAAATTAATATAATCAATAATTACATATTATTTTCTTTTATGTTTATAATTAACGGTATTTATTTTTTATTTATTATTTTTCTATAACTAATATTTTAATTAAATTTAATATGTTAACTTAAAATTAACCTAATCAATAAAAAATATATATAATTACTAATTAAATATGATTTCAATTATCATTTATTTAAAACTAATTAGTTATAAAAATATTACTTAACATAGTTATCAAATTAACAATTTTGTAAAAATTCAGCTTTTAATTAACTCTTTTTTATTTTATTTTAAATACATATCTTAACTATTTAAGGAAAAAGAGTTAAAAAATGAGTGATGGAAGGAGAGAATAAAAGGAAAAAAATAAGAAAAAAAATATAAAAGATTGTGAAACATACATGTTTTAACGAAAAATATAAAAAAAAAAATAAGTTTGATAAGAATTTTAAGTATTCATTCACTTTCAGCCACATTTGATTTTCCTTTAGAACAATGAAAAAATATAAAAATAACTATTCTTAATTTTAAAATTTCATAAATTATGTAGTGTGGAAGACCGTGAAAAAAAAAAGAAAAAATTCTTAATTATAGTTATGTTTGTAACGATGAATAAAGCCTAAATTAGATTCTCATATAAAGGTGAGCTGGGTATGTCTTACTCTTTTAGAGAAAAAAAAAAAGAATAAAAAAAAAGATGCAATAAGAGAAAAAAAGAAAAAAAAAAGAAAAAAAAAGAAAAAAAAAAGAAGAAAAGATTGTGAAATATACATGTTTTAAAGTAGATGAAAAAAAAAGTCTTATAAGAATTTTAAGAACTCATTAATTTTTGGTCATTTGATTTTATAGAAAATAGAGATATATGTCAATAAAAACAAATCATAAAAAAACTGATGTTATGGTAGAAGAACATTGCTACTAAATCCCGAATTATATGGGTGAAAACAAATTAAGAATATAATAAGAAAAGAAAAAAACTACCTCGTTTCAACACGTCAACTCAAATTTTTAATTTCACATTAGAACAACATTGTTATCAAATCTCAAATTATATGAGTAGAAACAAATTAAGAATATAGTGAAAAAAGAAAAAGACTATCTCATTCTCGTATGTCAACTATCTCAATTTCTTGATTCCTCTAACATTTGTACCATTGAAAATTTCAATTGTAGTGTGACAACTAGATTCTCGTATAGAGGTGGGTTGGATAAAATATTTAGAAAAGTTGTAAATAGAAGGCAAAATTGAGCTGTGAATTAAATGCACAATTATCGTGAAATTGACATGTAAGCAATTGTGATTATGTGATGAAAATTAGTATTATGACATGTCATGAATCATGATGAGACAATGGAGGGGTGGCTGTCACCCATAGACAATAAATGAGTGACTATTAGAGTGAGGAGGTGGTAAGGAATAATGGAGGCAAAGGAGGAGTGAGCATCGCATATAGACAACGGGGGGAAGCAACCGTCGCAGTTTTTGCTTCAACGAAGAAGTTGTGACTAGTGAAGAATTGGAGAATTTAGAGGGTGAGGAGGTGGCAAGGGGCAAAAGATGCAAAGGGGCAACCATCGAAGTTTTAATTTCAACAAGGAAGTTGCGACGGGTGAAGATGTGGAGGATTCGAGGGATGGGCATGGAGATGGTGGATAGGTAATATGGAACAACATAGACGATGAAGTATAGCCATTGCATGTGGAGGATCTATGAATATGTTTGACGAATGACGAGAGGCCTTATTAAAAAAATTAATTCAAATATTTAAGTTTGGTAGCTATGGAGATAAATTAGAATAAAAAATATATGATGAAATGACATATAAATATTTTTACTAATAAAATAATATTTTAGATACATTGTAGATTGACATAACACAAAAACTCAAACTCAACTTTTATATTATAAATAAATAAATGGTTACAAAGAAGCGATAAGATAAAATGATTGAATGAGAGAAAAATAATTTCACAATTAAAATAAAGATACTAATTCATTACCCAAAGTTATATATTATATGCTATTGAGTACTTGAAAACAAGCAAGGACCACCTAATTATGCTACATGCATGCACACATTCAATTCGACCCTCAGCAACCCACAATTCCCTTGAGTATGTGAACACTCCCAAAAGGGAAAGTGAAGAATAAACAAGAAAA